CACCCTGAGCGTGACTGAGGGTGGCATCGCACCTCCCAAATCCGCCCTGCTCTGTGCATGCCAGGGGGCGGCGCCCCAACTCCCCAGTCGGCCCTGCTCTGAGCCCGACCAGGGGCTGCACCTAGAGATTGGGCCTGCCCTCTGCCACCCAGGAGCAGGCCTAAGCCAGCAGGTCGTTATCTCCCGAGGGGTCCCAGACTGCGAGAGGGCACAGGCCAGGCTGAGGGACCCCCCCTCCCCCAGTGCACAAATTTTTGTGCACCGGGCCTCTAGTTTAATTATAATAGGGGCTTAGTGAGGGGGGCACCGAAATCTTTGTTCCCATTTTACAAAGTATATAACTGCTCAGAGATTTCAAGTCACTGTTTTTGGAATGTCACAGTTATTAAGGGGCAGAGCCCAGATTCAAACTCAAACCAAGCCAGCCTCCAGGAGAGAGGCTAAGGGCCAAACAAGTCAAACAGCCTGGTAGCTAGATTTAGCTCCTTATAAAAAGCCCGAAGTGCACAGGTTGGAGACCGGAACCAGAGAGCAAGGGAAGCCTCTCCAAAGGCAGCTGGAGTCGCCACTTTTTCTCCCAGTTTTGGCATTCCCCGCCCACCCCCCAACCAGGCCTTGGCCAGTGGACTCGTCCTGTGCCAGACCCCCTCTTTAGAGATGGGAAGTCTGAGATGACACTTTGGGCCCGTCCAGGAAAAATGACTCTGGTGACCCTGACTCAGAGGGTAAAGGAATGCGGGTGGAGGAGGCGTCTCACAAGGCAGTTTTGGTAGGCGGCAAAACCCTACCCAGTTTGACCGCCATCCTACTGCCGCAGGTCCCGGGAAATCTAGACTAGCGGTAGTCCCCGCACAATGCGGGCGCTTGGCCCCCGATCGCGAGCTAAATAAAATTCGGGGCTTCCAGATGCTGTCGCGACAAGACCAGGATAGGGGCCGAGAGCCAAGAGTCGCGTTTCTGGCGGGCCGAAAACCGTATCCGTAGCCGGGAGGAGACCAGTTTAGGGGGAGAAAATTCACAAAACCTATGGGGTCACCTTAGAGGTCTTGACCCGGGTTGGAGAGGTGTTGGGAAGACCTCAGACCTGTGAAATCAGCGCGGGGACTCGGTCCGAGCGAAGCCCGAGCGGCTACAACCAATGGACGAGGCCGAGCGCGCGCGCAGGCGCAGTGGTAGAGACGGCAAGTAGGACCGCGCGGAAGCGGGTGTATTTCCCGGCCTGGGCTAACCCGAGGCGCCGCCTGAGTCACGCGCCCCGCCCTACGGAACCGGCCTCCGCCAGAGGCCCGGGAGCAGCGGAGACGAGCGGACCCGCGGACCCGCGAGAGGCGGTGAGCGCCCAGCCACACTACCCTTGTACTTCGTACGGCCCCAGACCCGACGAGATCCTAAAGTCCCGGCTTCAGAGGTCCCCAGACTGATGATCTGAGATTCGAACCTCCAGACCTGTCCTGCCCGCGTTAACTCGCCCGGGACACTCTTCCACCCTCCGTCCTTGGACTTGAGAGGTACCCCGTAAATTATGCTCTCGTGCCCCCCCATTCTAATGGGAACCCCGTAATCCCTGGCCCGGGTCTTACTCCCACGATCTCAGACCCGAGCCCACAGACGCAGCGGTGACACTGTGATCCCGCTGCGGGGAGTATCTGAATTTCCAATCCCACATCCTGAATTTCCAAAACCCTGTCCCGGGGGCCTCCAGGCCGAGAATCTGACCCGCCCGAGACCCATAGTCCAGTTCTGGGGCCCTGACTCGAGCCCCCAGACACATCCGGGATGTCTTACACTAACTTGGCGCTCCCGGGAACCCACCAGACCCGGACCCCCTACCCTTAATGATGCCTAAGCGTAGACTCACCCAGGGTCATTCAAGGCTGACGAGGACCCTTTGAATCCAGAAGGGGTTTCAAATGTGATCATCAGTCCCTACCGCACCCATCCGAGCACTGCCATCCCCCAGCAGCCCGGACCACCATTCTGAACGGACTCTTTAAGCCCAGCCAGAGGCCTCACTCCCCCACGTCCAGCTGCCTGAATTTCTCATTTTTATGGGTTGGGGTGGGTTCGCGACCACCTAACCACTTTTTTCTCTTTAGGAACCTAGAGTCGCAGCCATGTTCCTGGTTAACTCGTTCTTGAAGGGCGGCGGTGGCGGCGGGGGAGGCGGGGGCCTGGGGAATGTGCTCGGAGGCCTAATCAGCGGAGGCGGAGGCGGAGGCGGAGGCGGCGGCGGAGGCGGAGGCGGCGGCGGCGGAGGCGGAACTGCCATGCGCATCCTGGGCGGGGTCATTAGCGCCATCAGGTAGGGCGGGGCCTGAGGGGGCGGGGCCTTACGTTGGATACTGTCGGGCGAGAATTGAATGGGGTAACCTGGAGACTGACCTGGAGCCTTCATTAGGCTGGGCCGGGCCTGGGCCTTGAGGGGCGGGTCGTAAGGAGGCGACTGCAGCTCGTGGGGGCGGGGCTACACCTGGGGGGTTGCCCTCTGTTGGATCATCGCTGGGTCCGGGCGGAGCTTTGGGAGGTGGGGCTTACTCGGGCTGGACCCCGCCGGCTTCCGCTAACCTGAAGATGAACGTTAAGGGGGCGGAGCCAGCGAGGCTGGGTGTCACTTCATGGGGGCAAGGCTTGTGTTATGCGCCCGGCGCGGCCGTCCTAGGTGGGTCCATGAGAAGGTGCCCCCAGAAGAGGCCGAACCTACTGGGATAAGAGAAATGGCCTTGAAGGGGCTCAGCCTGGCTGGGAACTAGCTGGATTAAAATAGAAAAATGTCCTGGTGGAGGTAGGGCAGATTTTCTAATTAGCCTAATTAGAGGCCTAATTAGCCTTGGCCATTGAGCAGTGATCCCTCCAAAGAGCTGGAACTAATGGAACTGGGGCGGGGTGCTGGGAAGACACAAGAGTTCAGGAAGCCGTAGCGATGAACTACGTTCCTAGACAGATGGGATCGGAGGGGTTTGGGGCCCCGAGAAAGCCGGGGCAGAACTTTTACGAAGTGAGCCCTCGAAGGGGCTGAGTCTATTGAGGGAGCTGCCAATTGGGGCAGGTGTGCTCTGGTAGGAGTGGGAGCCTACCCTAAAGTTGGGGCCTCTGAGTTTCCACAACGGGCTCAACCCGGGGCATCTAGATTTGTGACAGGGGACGACAAAATAGAAGATAAGGTGTATGAACAAATAGGGAGGGTTGGCGACTTGGGCTTCTTCGGGTAGG